TGTGTGTGTGTGTGCACGCGCACAAGTCATGTTTGGATCAGTGGCTGTGAAAGAACAGGCTGCAGCCCTCACTGTTCCAGGACATTGATTTCAGTAGCTGTTCTTGCACTCGGTGTCCAGTGAAATAAGTCAATGAGACACTTGCAGCATTACGTTGACGTGTGCTCGTTCCTCTCTGCTAGGCCTGCGTGGGCGTGTGTGTGTGTTTATACATGCGTGAGAATCTGTATTTGTTGAACAGCTTTTCCTTGAGGCCTTCAGGAAGTGTTGAGGTTTTTTTTTTTTTTCGTCACTAATGTAAATTTACTCCCTCTTTCTTGTTTCGGTGTGTGTGCGTGTGTGTTCATGCTCAGGTCATGTGTGTATAAGAACGACCAGGCGGTGAAAGAGAACCCAAGCAAGGCTCTGCAGGAGGAGGAGCCGTGTCCACGCTTTGCACACCAGCTGGTCTACGACGAGATGCACAAGGTAACATACACACAGCTCGGACTCGCACACACACTGTTGTTTAGTACACCATCGCACAGATTTCCTGACACCCAAGTAGTAACACTCCAGCTTACAGCTCAGCTTTGTCAGATTTTAATTCATGCTGCGTCAAGTTAACGCATCTCCTCGAGCTGCTCATTCGCACACCTGGCATTACTTTTTGATCACAGCTGTTACATCCTGTTGCACCAACACCTTTTTTTTTTTTCCCTCGTTGACATTGAAAAACAATGTCAGTCACACTCCTTACAACTCCTAGCAAAGCTGGTGAAGGTCAAGAGCCAGTCAGGCAGTAAAAAATGATGGAGATGATAGTAACCACATATGTGACTCAAATTCTCCAAGAATTTACAATCATCTGTTTAGAAGAAAAAGTACAAAATCAACTATCCATGCATATTTGTAAATGTTGTTTTCAACAATCCTTGCAATATCACTTCAAAAAATGAAGAAATCAGTAGAATACTTGACACGAAAAGAAAAAGAAATATTTGCAAATTTAACCCTCAATCTCTTTTAAAGCCCCTTCAGGGAGCTTTCATTTTGTGTTGATTCTGGTGGCACCTGTGGACAAAGGTGGTAGTGTTTCTACCGCAGGCATTAAGAATAACTATAGAAATAACCAATCTTCTTGCTGATGGTCTTCTTATTAAATTAAAGTATTACCTTATTAAATAGTATTAAATTGAGTGTGTTTCATAACCAGTTTAAAACTACTTGTGATACATTTAAATAATCCAATTTGGAACCAGTGTTATAACCAAACCTCAACAACATGCTATTATCAGTGAGTAGTTGTTCCTTTAAAATTGTTTGATATTTAAAAAAAATTATTTATTAGCACAGTTTTTCAGAAAGTATATTTTGGCTTCATTAATCACAACAGAACTCTGGGGTATTAAATAGTTTGATTTTTAACTGTAGAAAAAAAAGATCTCTCATTAGGCAATTCTTAGCAACCATCCAATTATCTGAAAACAGCTTCACATAATTAAGCAATATGCATTTTCTTGGATTCACTCGTTTTTTTTGTTTGTGTGTATAAAGACACTGAGGGATAGAATATCTAATGAAGGTGTGTTTCCAGGTGCATTACCTGTTTGGTGGGAACCCCGGGAAGTCTTGTTCTCCCAAGATGCGCCTAGACGACTTCTGGTCCCTCAAACTGTGTCGGCCCTCCAAGGAGTACCTGCTCCGCCACTGCAGATATCTCATCAGGAAGTACAGGTCTGTAGCTAATTTACTTCCAGCAGCAACACACACACACACACACACAACACTTCTCCCACCACCACACCACCACATGTGTTGTGTCTTTTTATTGATGCAGCAGTGTGATATACTGTTATCAGCATCAATACTGACCTTATTAAACAGATGGGGTATTGCCCAGCAGGGACCAATCACATTAACTGATGAGTCAGAGTCCTTATAAAATTATACCTACTGGATTTTATAAACCACCTTGAACAGTATAATTTAATACGATGTTGGTCTATTAGCAAAGGAATGATGTGTAGTTACTCCTCATTTTAACTCCCATCAATTTCGCACAATGAGGTATATAAAGATCCAATAAGTAAAAGCTCTTGTATCAGATAAGTCGTTTGTATCAGCCACTACACTGTTGTCCAAGTATTGGAATCTAGAAAAAGAATATGTGGGATCGGTGCTCCCGCAGACTTTCTGTTGAAGAGTTAGTCCAGGTTTACTAGAATAAACTAGGATTGTTCACAGATATTTGGCGCATTATGAGGTTAATCCCACATTTGACATTTTTTTCTAGGAAATCTTTACAGATCCCAATAGAAGATCGTAACTCGTAAGATATAGGTTAGACAAAGTAAGTCATAAGGATGAAAAAATGAGGGTTCTTGGTTAGTTTTCAGACACTTTCATGTATGTGTTAGACACATTCAGCAACTTCATATCAGCTGGCTATTCATAAGGTTTGTCAGTGTATTTAACATTTGTTGCCATTAGATATTTTATTTGTTAACAGTAAAAGCAACTGCGTAGGAGCTGATTCTTTAAAATGAAATATAAACATTTGGGGGGAATGAAACAACCTTTTGACCTGATCATGTCATGTAATAAGGTAATGGAAAGTCAGTTATGATGACTGCTGAGCGGTGGGATCCTCTCTGCTTTGCGTCTGTTGCCATCTAGTGCTGCTTTGTTGTAACTGCAGCCCCACAGTGTGCCTGTAATGTTCACTATCAGTGTGTTTGGACCTGCCAGGTTTGAGGAGAAAGCCCAATCGGAGCCGCTGAGTGCACTAAAGTACCTGCAGAACGACCTTTCGCTGACGGTGGACCACACAGACCCTGATGAGACCAAAGAGGTACCCTTCAGAATTAGTTTGGTTTTCATGGCATGGTTTTTTCTTGGCTAGAAGTAAGAGCTAAATTAAATGACCACTGGGAGAACAAAGAGGAAATAAACCAGAACGAAAAAGTTTAAAATGTACACATAAACAGTATAGAAGAGGTTAATAGAGTCAGAGAAAATGTAGATAAAAGCCTGGGAATTATGCAGAAGCCCCATAACTATAAGCTATAATTTCTAACAATCTGTCCAGCTGGATGTGTGTATGTGTGTGTATTCTGCCCTCATTGGTATGCTGCAGCAGGAGCTTCTTCTGCTGTGGCTGTTTGTTTGTTCACTGCCGTCTAATGTGAAAGTGTCTCACACAGTTTGCTTTGTGCTTCAGTTCCAGCTCCTGCCCTCGGCCCTCTTTAAGTCCAGCTCTGACTTCATCCCTCTGGGTAAGACCCTGATCTCTGTTCATACAGAACCACATGTGTGTCCAGACAGGAACAAGATTTAGATTCAATTCAGTATTTTGTGTCACATAAATAAGACAGAGCTGCCCGACATGTTTCACTTCAGAATGAGTTTAGCTGGTATGTCACCTATGCCAGGAAGTTTGTGAAAAATAATACAATAAATAGAATAAAATAATGTCCAGATTCACGCAGAGGAGCAGATTTAGCCAAACTGCTAACATGCTCATGTTTAGGAGCTATTATGTGTAATGCAGTTGCAGAGTCTACTGTACGTAGCTAGCTGTACCTTTTTATTAAAGGAACTGTAGTCTCAGTATGTAAGAATGCAATTTAGTTTTCTTATTGAAGGTAGAAGAGTTGCACCACTTACTTTTTCTCCACCAGAACAAGAAGTCAATGTCTTGTTCTCTCTTATCCTCCATCAAATGAATCCTGGGAAATATTGAAAATCACCGGATTTGACTGAAAAAGTAAATTCTGCTAGTGACAGACCTCTCCAGTTGATTTTTTTTACACATTTACAGCAGTGTAAACAGCTCATTAGTGCTAGCTTCTGTCAGTGTACACTTTACACACATTAAATCAGCATAAACACCATCAGAGTCCTCCATTCTGCTGTCTTTAGCACCGTGCTCTTTCTGGATTAACTGTTGTTTTTCTGTCTGCCTTTTTCCCTCCCCAACCCTCTCCCCAGGTTTCTCAGACGTGGACCAGACGTATGCTCAGCGGACGCAGCTCTTCGACACGCTCGTCAACTTCTTCCCGGACAGCATGACCCCGCCCAAGGGCAACCTGGTAGACCTCATCACGCTCTAGCGCCTCCCACCTCTGACACCCCTTCTCTCCTCCCCCGTCACCTCACCCACCGGACTGACTGAACATCTACCCATCCATGCTCCCGATGGGGACGGAGGAGACAAGAGGCCAGTTATTTTTCTATTCCTGAACCCCGCTGATGGGATTACCCTTCACCTGGAAGCCTCCCTCTGTCACAGTTACCTGACGGTGAGGGTCGAACACGCACACTTAAACAACACTGTGGTATTGGGATACGATACGATTGGGAACTCCACGACCTGAGGAGTTTGTGTGTGTTTTTCCCAAGATATCCCTTTGGTTTTCTTGCTGATGAAAATTACTTGGAGCGCGCAAAACCCCTCTAAACTCTGCCAAACATCACTTGTGTTTTTCATCTTCACTTGATTTTTTTCCCACCAGAAATCTTAAGGCCAAAAAACAAGATTTGCACGTATTTGTTTGCAGTCTTTTATTCATAGATTTTCTCTTTTTTTTTCTTGGATTTGTGCTTTGTACCCACGCAAACGCCCACACGGTCGACCACAGGCGTCCATCCACATGTTTGCAGCAAAACAGATGAGGAGATGACGTCAGTTGTTGCGAAAGTTAAGTTGAAATTTGCTGGTTGATCATTCATTTTGAAGACAGGACGGTGTGACCATGATTCAGGAAACCACTTCACTCTCCACAGCTATAAGCTCACATGCAAAATCTAATGTGAATGTTCATTTTGATGATTTGGTTTGCTCGCTTTTCTGTAATTCATGCCCCTATTTATGATCGTGACAACCTCGCAAAGGCAAAAAGAGTCAAAACATGTAATAGTGTTGTATGAACAATAGAGAGATAAAGTTTAATATATATCTAAATATACCTTTTTATATTGGTTTTGATTGTTGTCCCTGTAAAACTGGCTGGTAAATTTGGATTTACTACAGGAGACACAAGGTTTTTTGTCCTCAGTAATTAATGCATTGTAACTTAATTCTAAGTGGTTAAATGCTGTACAGAATATGTAAATATACATAGATGACTTTCTTTGCGTTGAACAGATTCTGTGCTGGATCATGTTCTCTCTTGTCCCTTTTCATCAAAAAGTCACGGCCTACATACAGTAATTTTGTGGCTCTGCATTTAATACTCATTACTACTTATTGGGAAGAGTTGAAAACAATCGTGTGTGCATGTGCGAATGAAGTGCCGGTGCCAGTAATCCAGTTTGACAATTAAGAGTGGGAAAAGGCATTTGAGATCTGTTTGTCATAGTGTGTTAACACAATGTTCCTCAGAGTGATGAATTAGTGGGTGAAATATTTCTTTTTTTCCTCTAAAAAATGTGCCCCTGAATAGATTTGTGAAGTGGACAGCAGGGTTGAGCAGAACCAGTGTTGCCTCCGCGTCATCCATTACAACCATGTAATGTACAAACCTTTCAGGTATTAGAACTCTTATACCATGGCCAGTTGCCAACCAAATGCCATACATCATCAAATGCATTTTTTTAACTAGTGTAAAAAATTAGCGGCATGGCTAAAAAGAAGTTCATGTCACCCTCAGGATGATTGACCTTTCATGTAGCAACATTATCAGGTCAGAATACCTAAGTTTACGATGTTCCCATCGATTTTTATCTCGTTTTTTGTTTTATTTTTGCAGGGAAAGTTAAGAGTAGGCGCACAAGAGTTAGCTAACAGCTAATTTCCATCTGTTGTTCCTGGGCAGGTATGCAAAAACAACCACAGAACAGTAGCCTCAGCTGTACTTTGTATTAAGTGCTGTTTTTAAAACCAAATGTAGCATGCTGTCACGCTAAACTAGGAGGGTTGAAAAAGAAATACCTTTATGAACATTAACATGCTAACATTGTAATTTTGTCTTTGTTAGCATTCTGAGGTTAGCATTTAGTTCAGCTGTAGACTTTACTGAACGCTACTGCTCAAATCAGATCCTTTTTTTGTTAAATGTGGCCCATATAAGATTCCAATGTAAACAGGGCACGGTCCTGAAGTAACCTACATGACTGATGTTGATCTAGAGTGACATAAAGGTAACGTGAATTCTGGTATGACTGTTCACACTGGTTACATTGCAGTAAGTCCAACCTGTATCTGATTTGGACCACATGTAAGGCCCAAATCAACACTGATATATTTATTTAGAACTGCAAACAAACACTCGTGTCATTGGTGTCCTGTTATTAAAAGTTGGTCCATGTCAGCCAATCACAATCCAGAATTTTCCGTGGCCATGGTATAAGTTAATTTTACAGACACAAACCTGGTAGCTGTTATTTAACTTATCCAATAGAAGTCTGCCAGACATGAGCCGGTCTTAGACTTTCACACACAGCTGGCTGCCTGAATGCTAGTGGGAAACGATTGCTTTGCTCTTCTTTATCTCCCTTAAGAAACACTATTCAGAGAGTGACAGTGAGTTTCTGTATTGATCATTCACTTACTATTCTGATAATGCAACACCATACTTGGTTTACTCACATAGGAAGAGTGGGAAACTGCTATACGAGGAAGGGACACGCACCACAAAGCTTCCCACAAACACTAACTTTGGAATGTGTTTCACAGGAATAATTTCCTGTGATGTGGTGTCAAAAATTGGTCGCAACATCGCGAAAAAGAAAGACCAGACTTGAGGGTAAAAATACTTACTGCTCAAATCTTCCATAAGGAGGTGGAGAGTTAGACCACACGAGTAGCCCTGGAGGATTTGCTGTCTTGCTCAAGGACACTTCTGAAGGGAGGTTGAGTCTGGCTGCGGTACCGCATCCTTTCTCATAAACCAGTAGCGCTGACCAGCTGCATGCTTTTAAAGTTGAAAAGTTTACCTCTGCTGCCACCAAATCATTTCTTGGGGGATTTTGAGGTTAGTTTTCATTGGTGCTCACTGGTCACTCAAAGTCCCACCATGTCAGTTTTCTTGTTCATCGTCTTCCATGACGCTCAGATGCTAAAGGATTGTTTTTCAGTGGAAATATGATCACTAACATCCCATCGCAAAACAAAAACAGTGTTCATTGGTGAAACAATGATGTCTCTCCCAGTCGACATTTAGAACAACTGTGATACATAAGAACACTGTGTGACGTCCCTGGCACATCTGCTACGACTGTTAACCACAACTTGTACATAATTGTCTAATGTACAGGATCAGTACTCTTTCTAACTATGAGCTCGAAGAACATTGAGGACATCATTAGGATAGTTTGACTGGAGGGGCAGAATTGGGTAGAAAGATGGTTCGTTCGTTGCTATTTAACACTAGTTTGCGTGGAGGGTCACATCTGTGAAATTCAGTGTGTTTACTGAGACATGAACTAGTTAACTCATGAGTTTCTTTAGTGGCAATTTATAGGCTACAATTTATATTAATGCACTTGTTTTGAAAATTAAAGGGCCATACTGATGTTGGAAAAGTAATGTACTGAAGCATTAAAACGAGCCCCTGTAACATATTGCTTAACTACAACCACTGGAGATAGCTAAATGCTACAGCATTTACAGTGAACTCAGTTACACAGCAATATCAGTCTAAAGTAAAGTTTGCTAGCATTAGCCACCATTAGCTANATTAGCCACCATTAGCTACTGGTTGTACCTAACAAAACCAGACATGATATTCAACTAAACATTTGTTATATGATACTGAAGTGAAATGAAACCAGCTGCTGTGTAGAAGACAGGGGAACAACTATACTATGTACACTAAATGTGAAGCTACTGCTAGCAGCCACTTTTAGTTTAGTTTAGCTTAGCATCATCAGTTCAAAGGTTATAAACTCTTCCTGCTGACACCTCTAAATTTTAAAGTTTCAGGTTTACCTGGCAAAGAAACTGCACCGATTATCAGTTTAAACTAGCATCTTATAATAATAATAATACTAATAATAATAATAATAATAATAATAATAATAATAAGCTAGCGAATTGCT